GCGGAGTTTAGGTGGCGAGCCGGACCGTTGAGAGAGAACGGCCCCTATACCTGCCTCAGACGCGTCCACCTCAACCTGAAAGGGTAATGCGGGATCCGGATGCGCCAGCACCGGAGCCGACGTAAACTGGTCCTTCAGTCTCCCAAAGGCCCTGTCCGCATCAGCTGACCACTGCAGGCGCACCGGACCCCCTTTCAGAAGGGACGTGATGGGAGCTGCCACCTGTCCAAAACCCCGATCTGCCACCTGTCCAAAACACGATCCACCTCCATTCTCACCCCTGACGCGGACAACCGATAACCCAAAAAGGAGACCGACTCCTGGAAAAACAGACATTTCTCTGCCTTGACATATAGGTCGTGCTCCAACAGCCTCCTCAATACACGACGCACCAGGGTTACATGCTCGGCTCGGGTAGACGAGTACACCAGAATATCATCAATGTACACGACCACCCCCTTGTCCCTGCATATCCCGGAAAATGTCATCTACGAAGGATTGGAAGACTGATGGAGCATTCATCAACCCATATGGCATGACAAGATACTCGAAATGACCTGACGTGGTACTAAACGCTGTCTTCCATTCGTCGCCCTCCCTAATGCGCACCAAGTTATACGCGCTCCTGGATCCAGTTTTGTGAAAAACCGCGCTCCATGCCATGACTCCGTCATGGTCGCAATCAGAGGGAGTGGATAACTGTATTTCAACAGTAATCTGATTGAGACCACGGTAATCAATGCACGGGCGCAAACCCTCCATCTTTCTTTTTCACAAAAAAGAAGCTTGAGAGGCGGGAGAAGTGGAGGGGCCGAATGTATCCCTGTCTCAAAGATTGGCTATGTAAGTCTCCATAGCTTTTCTCTCCTCTGAGACAAAGGATACACATGGCTCCGTGGGAGCGCTGCTCCTGCCTGGAGATCAATCGCACAATCCCCATGTCTATGAGGAGGCAACTGCGTGCCCTAGTCTTGCTAAACACGAGGCTAAATCCCCATATTCAGGCGGAATGTGCAGTGCGGGCACTTGGTTTGGACTTTCCACCGAAGTCGCCCCCACGGAAACACCCAGACATCGCCCCTCGCACTGAGCAGACACCCATCGAGAGCCCTCTGTTGCCACGAAATCGCAGGGTTATGGGTGCTTAACCAGGGAATTCCCAGCACCACTGGGTACGCAGGAGAGTCGATCAGATTAAGGGTTTGGGGGGTTTTTTTTTTTTTCCCTTTTTAAAAACCGGGGGGGGGGGGTTGGGAAAAAAGGGGCCCCCCTTTGGGGGGGGCCCCCCCGGGGGGGTTTTTTTGGGGGGGGCCCCCCCCCCCCCCGGGGGGGGTTTCCCCCGGCCCGGGGGGGGGGCCCCCCCTTTTTTTTTTTTTTTTCCCCCCCCCCCCGGGGGTTTTTGGGTTTTTGGGGGGGGTTTTGGGGGGGCCCCCCCGGGTTTTTGGGGGGGGGGGGGGGGGGGGGGTTTCCCCGGGGGGGGGGGGGTTTTTGGGGGCCCCCCTTTTTTTTTTTTTTGGTTTTTTGGGGGGGGGGGGGGTTTTTTTTTTTTTTGGGGGGGGGTTTTTTTTTGGGGGGGGGGGGGGGGGGGGTTTTTGGGGGGGGGGAGGGGGGGGTTTTTTTGGGGGGGGGGGGGGTTTTTTGGGTTTTTTTTTGGGGGGGGTTTTTTTGGGGGGGGGGGGGGGGGGGGGTTGGGGGGGGGGGCTTTGGGGGGGGAAAAAAAAAGGGGCCCCCGGGGGGGCCCCCGGGGGGGGGGGGGGGGCCGGGGGGGGTTTTTTTGGCCGGGGGGGGGGGGGGTTTGGGGGGTGGGAAAAGGGGGGGGGGTGGGGAAAGGGGGGGGGGGGGGGTTTTGGGGGGGGGGTTTTTTTTTGGGGGGGGGGGGGGGGGGGGCCCTTTAAAAACCCCCCGGGGGGGGGGGGTGGGTTGGGGGGGTCAACCGGGGGAAAAATTTTTGGGGGTTTTTTAAAAAAAAAATTTGGGGGGGGGGGGGGCCCAAACCCCCCCCGGGGGGGGGGGGGGGGGGGGTTTTTCCCCGGGGGGGGCCCCCAAAAACAAAAAAAGGGGGTTTTTTGGGTTTAAGGTTAAAAGGGGGGGGGTTTTTTTGGGGGGGGGGGGGGGGGGGGGGGGTTTGGGGGGGGGGGGGGGTTTTTGGGGGGGGGGGGCCCCCCCCCAAAAAATTTTTTTAAAATTTTTTTTTTTTTGGGCCCCCGGGGAAGGGGGGCCGGGTTTTTTAAAAAAAAAAAAGGGGTTTTTTTCCCCTTTTTGGGGGGGGGGTTTTTTTTACCTTTTCCCCTTTTCCCTTTTTTTTAAAAAAAAACCCTTTTTTTGGGGGGGGTTTTGGGGGTTTTTGGGGGGGGGGTTTTTTCAGGGGGGGGGGGGGAAATTTTGGGGGAAAAGGGGGGGGGGAAAAAGGGGGGGGGGGGGTTTTTTTTTTTTTTTTTTGGGGGGTTTTTTTTTTAAAAGGGGGAAAAAAAGTTTAAAGGGGGTTTTTTTTTGGGGGGGGGGGGAAAAAATAAAATTTTTTTTGGGGGGGGGGTTTTTTTTTTTTTTTGGGGGGGGGGGGGGAAAAGGGGTTTTTTTTTTTTTTTTTTTGGGGGGGTTTTTGGGGGGTTTTTCCCAATTTTAAAAGGGGGAAAAAGGGGGGGATTTTTTTTGGGGGGTTTTTTTTGGGGGGGTTTTTTCTTTGTTTTTTTTAAAAAACACTGGATGGAAGTAATTAGCTCCAACATGAAAACAGAAGAGCAATCACACACAAAGACAAACACAACCAACGAGAACTAAATAGGACACTAACGAGGACTAACAAGACACAGGTGTACAACATAAAGACAAAACCAAACGAACATGAAACATCGATCGGTGGCAGCTAGTACTCCGGGGATGACGACCGCCGAAGCCTGCCTGAACCAGGGGGAGGAGCAGCCTCGGCCGAAACCGTGACATTATTACACCAATTGTGAAGATCTCCACAGACCTATGACAACCTATGCATGCTATCTTGAACATGCACACTTTATATAATTACATAAGAAGAAATGTATAGTTACAGTAACCTCAAAATGTGGTCTTAATAATAATAATACATTACATTTCTATAGTGCTTTTCATAACAATCTTAAAGCACTTCAAACGCAAAAAACAAACAAGCAATACATAATCATGAGTAGCCTAACTATAGTTAGGTCAACCAATAGAGGCCAAGTCTTTGAGTGCATGCATCCTTCAAAGATGGAGAGGGACAGTTCATGGCTTGATCAGAGGAAGGTGGTCAGGGAGATGGTTGATGATGGATGTGGATGTGTTACTCATTTTAAGGTTGTAAGATAGCTCTAACTTTAGCCTATTTACTGTATTACAAAAGTAATATTGAATTGTGTTTGGTTGACAACACAACCAAATAACATTTAAAGGAGATATATATATATATACTGCTTGGATAGTTCCATCTGAGCCACTGGCTTAATCCCATTCTTTAACTTTTGTTTTTGGTTGAGATGGAGACGTGAATCCAACATATCAATTATTAATTTGTAGACGAACTGGAATTGTGGCAAAGATGGAACTATCCACTATATTTTATTAAACCAGAACTTGAAACCCTAGGCCTATTGTATTGTCTATTTGTAGTTGAATTCTGGTTTGAATTGAATCAATAGCTGTTGATGACTTTACGAATGCTATATTTAAGCAATAAGGCCCAAGGGGGTGTGGTATATGGCCAATATATCACGGCTAAGGGCTGTTCTTAGACACGACGCAACAACAGTTAATAACTTTTTCCAAATCCAATGTATTTTCCACGTAGATTCCACGTCATAATACGTTGACAAATGATGTTGAAACAACATTGATTCAACCAGTTTGTGCCTAGTGAGCTGTTGATACAGTCCCAAAATGTTTAGCATGTCAGTTTTCAAGATAAATGACTTTCAAAAAGCAAAGTATAGCATGCCACATCATGCAAAATGCATTACATGATGCAAAAAGTATCATCATGATGATGTGGTATGCTACACTTTGCTTCTTAAAAGTGCTATAGCTTGAAAGCTTGACTGCTGACATGCAAACATTTTTGGGACCATGTCAACAGTGGACTAATGACAGAAAAATAGCAAAAGATAGTTTTTGAGTGGATTATTCCTTTAAGGAAGGGAGGGAAGGAGGAGGGATTTTGTAAAGTTTTCCAACAGAAACCAAAGGACCCACACCAGTCAACACAAACCTCAGACTGACAACAGTAAGTCACGGGGCCTCATGATGCACTTGCACCTCATCTGAATGTTTCTGTGTGGCCAAGCAGACATCAATTATATGCTACAGCACAATATCTTTTGGTCTTTCACTCGCTTTAACCACAAACATTTACAGTTTAAGGTGATCAAAATGTTGTATACACACACACACACAAACACGCATGCATGTGCGCACGTGCACACACAGATAAACACACACACACACACACACACAATGTGCTTACCATGGATACTTCTTTTTCTGACTTGAACTCATCTAAAGGTTCCTGAAAGACAGACTCAGACTTAGATGGATCCATTTGTATCTGACTAGTTCCTGTTTCCCTTGTTTAAAACCCAAAACTCTCAAGAGAAACCAGACAAAGTATATAATATATCAAAGATATATTTAAAAAATATTTACTTTATGTGAGGGTTGAATATAAGTGTCTTAAATTAAGATTATGGTAAGTAATATTCCATTTTAAACACTTTTTTTGTAACCTTTATTTAACCAGAGAAGTCACATTGAGATGTAAGTCTCTTTTTCAAGTAAACCCTGGCCAAAAAAGCAGCATACATATACAGTAGTTACACATACATTAGACAAAACACAACACAACATAAAACATAACAACGAATCGAAATTAAAACAGTGCAAAGAGCATAAAAAACCTAAAAACCCTCAATTGGTTAGGGTTAGAACACAACATGCACCAGCAACCTCGCCCCAAGAGAAAGCTAACTTAATTTTTCACTACAAGCACTCACTTTATTTTGTAGGATTATATTGGCTGAGACTTGTGGTCCTGCATAGACGTCGGGGATGTAATAGATGAATGTGTTTATACCCAGCTTCAGGTTGTCGCACTGCAATAAAAAAACCAATGGTCTTCCGGTCTCATTTAGCGTCTTTAAAGAGAATAGCTGAGTAGGAGTAGTGGTAGGAGAAGAGGAGGACAGCAGGTTAAGATCTGCCCTCCATTTTCTCTACTTCTGTCAGAACAGAACATCATCTGTCTGTGTTGCTTGGTAACCATCTGAAGGGATATCTATCTAGGGACAGCTTCTTTAGACTTTAACTACAGAGTGACAGTAGGAGTTTGAATCTGTCCACATGCATGCTGTTACTTCAAACTGGGATGGAAATAAACACTGATTTGGATAACACGTTATTTGAATAGTCCCCAATAGATGCTTTATAGATGTTCAATTGTCAACAAAATATTCAAATAACTATCCACTAATCCTAACTCCAACCTTAGATTAATGGCCATATCACAGCTCAACACTAACTCTAACCCTAGCCCTAACCTTAGCCTCAACCTTAACACTAACCCTGAAAGCCAATTTATGCTTGCTCCCGCGGTAGGTAACACCTGAGTTAGGTTACACCTGAGTATCCTTCGCCGTGTAGAAGGCAATCGAGGAGAGGAGCAAATTGCTTCGTTCACCTATTAACAAAATCACACTCTCCTGCAAAAGCATTTAATTGTACCGTTTACACCTGCTGTATCCTGTGCATATGACGAATAAACTTTGATTTGATATTTATTGTCAGTAGCTGAGTGTAGATGCGGTGTGGAAATCAAGCGCAGGAAACACGGGTGTTTGTGAACAGACTTTAGTAAACGAAAGCAGCACCAAACAGGCGAACAGCCAACCCAACCGGGAGGCAAAATACAAATTACGCACAATAAACACAGTGCGTAAAACGACGATAGCGCACACAGTGCGGACTCTCGAAAAACAACAAAACACGAGAGTAAATACAGAGAGCAACAGCTTGACAAAAAACAATCACACATAACACCTGACCCAACACACGATAACTAAATAGGAAACAAAATCAAACACTAACAAGGGACAGGTGTACAAACAGACAAAACCAAACAAACATGAAACATCGAACGATGGCAGCTAGTACTCCGGGGATGACGACCGCCGAAGCCTGCCCGAACAAGGAGAAGGAGCAGCCTCGGCCGAAACCGTGACACATATGGCGACCACTTATCGGTTTCTGGGTCACGGAGGAGAGGAGGACGGAGCAGTCGAGGAGAGGATAAACTTTTTCCCTATTGAGAATCTCCCTATCAACTCCCTATCAAAAGGCGCTGTATGATCAATCCGATGTCTGCATTGGCCGTACAGCAGTTACGGGGATACGGCATCTGCAGAAGTCAGGGCATTCATAATTATTGCACTTCGCAGAGTAGAGCTGTTGTGAAGAAGGTTGTCAAGGAAGTGAGTTTGTGTTTACAGTTGAAGTCGGAAGTTTACATACACCTTAGCCAAATACATTTAAACCCAGTTTTTCACAATTCCTGACATTTAATCCTAGTAAATATTCCCTGTCTTAGGTCAGTTAGGATCACCACTTTATTTTAAGAATGTGAAATGTCAGAATAATAGTAGAGAGAATTATTTATTGTTGATGTTGCTTCAATATATCCACATAATTTTCCTTCCTCACGATGCCAGTCCCTCCTGCAGCAAAGTGCACCAGTCCCTCCTGCAGCAAAGCACCCCCACAGCATGATGCTGCCACCCCGTGCTTCACGGTTGGGATGGTGTTCTTCGGCTTTCAAGCGTCCCCCTTTTTCCTCCAAACATAACGATGGTCATTATGGCCAAACAGTTCTGTTTTTGTTTCATCAGACCAGAGGACATTTCTCCAAAGAGTACAATCTTTGTCCCCATGTGCAGTTGCAAACCGTAGTCTGGCTTTTTAATGGCGGTTTTGGAGCAGTGGCTTCTTCCTTGCTGAGCGGCCTTTCAGGTTATGTCGATATAGGACTTGTTTTACTGTGGATATAGATACTTTTGTACCTGTTTCCTGCAGCATCTTTCACAAGGTCCTTTGCTGTTGTTCTGGGATTGATTTGCACTTTTCGCACCAAAGTGCGTTCATCTCTAGGAGACAGAATGCGTCTCCTTCCTGAGCGGTATGACAGCTGTGTGGTCCCATGGTGTTTATACTTGCGTACTATTGTTTGTACAGATGAATGTGGTACATTCAGGCGTTTGGAAATTGCTCCCAAGGATGAACCAGACTTGTGGAGGTCTACAATGTCTTTTCTGAGGTCTTGGCTGATTTATTTTGATTTTCCCATGATGTCAAGCAAAGACACACTGAGTTTGAAGGTAGGCCTCTTAAATAGTTTTATTTATGGATTGATCATTGCCTCAGAAATAAAGTATTTCAACATCTCCAAAGCAATTAATTGGCTGTATGGCGCAGAAACCGCTGACTCGCTGCCTTAAAAAAAAAAGGATTATCAAGACACCTGCTGGCAACGCTTAACTGGTTAGGACAGCTCATGAGGTCTCCTAAATATCTGTTGACTAGGTAGGACTCGTATGACTAAAGAGGCTTCATGCATAGCTTTTGATTTTTACCCCTAAGAATAATAGGAAAATGTCTATTCTCAGTACTTACAACCAATTTTCTTCTCTGAGAGACTTTGTTGATACGGCGCCTGGCCTCATACTCTGTAACGGCCTAAATTCATGCAATTTTCTATTTTAACTGGTCAAATAAAGCCTGCAATCCAACATTTAGACCTCAAAGATAATTATGAAGTGGTTTCATTTGCAAATGACTAACTTTATTTTCCATGCTCAGATTGACTTTCCCACGGAATTGCCCTCATAGATTCATGCTACTATACTTATTTCAGACGCGCATGCCTCTGGATTCCGGAATGTTGTATTTTCACTCAATCTGCACTGGGCCTGCAACACTGTCTGCCTGCACAGGAAGAACAAGGTTTAGGACTCATCTTGGAAACCCTATGTCCCAATTCTCCTGAAGTGTGCTCTTGTTCACTTTGCTACATGGATTTAAAATGAAAGAACTGATTACGGTTCCCTCTTTAGCCCATGATTACAGTTATCCAATGCTTTTACATTTATGGGGATAAGTGCATAATTGCAGACTTTGGAGAAAGGATCAAGAATTGGGACGCAGGCTGAGTTTTATATTGAATAGGGACACCATTTTGTGATGTGTGTGCATGATAATGCCTGTCCCGCTCTTCCCCAGCCTGCTCCCCAAGGCTGTGAAGAGGCGAGTCTACGCCCTGAAGAGGCTACAGGTGCAATGTGCCCACATAGAGGCAAAGTTCTATGAGGAAGTCCACGAGCTGGAGAGGAGGTACGCTGGCCTCTACCAGCCCCTCTTCGACAAGGTACAGTCACACCTCTCTACTACAGTTGTTATCTCTGTGGCCTCCTCTTCTCTTGTCTCCTTTCCTCTCCTGTGCACTCAGCTATAAACACAGGATTAGTGAAAGGAAATGACGGACACATACTAGGATTTTCTTAACAATTTGTGCAGACTAAGGACAGGAAACCACTTGAGATAATGACGCCCCACAGGAAGGGATAGAGGTCGACTACTTCCAACAGTGACTCACTACTCAAAATGTCAAAAAGAGGGTGTGCCGCTTTAGCATCAAGTATGAAGACAGGTGCTAATCGGAGAACAGGTCTTTCCCGCTCTCTCCCTTTCGATAACCACCGAGCCTCGGCGTGAAAGGGGAAAAATGTTATTCTCTGATCCAGTGGAAATGTCATAAAATATCTGGTTACTTCTTATCCATTATCTGTCCGGAGCTCACTAGCATGGAAACTGAGGGCCTAGTTGATACAATGTTTCAAGTTCATTGCAGACAGTCGGAGTAGAGAGATGAATGTGATTTTTCTTTAGTTCTTTATTTTTATCAGGATATTGCAATGTTTTTATATGTTGACTTTTGTAGTCTATTTCTATCTAGTTGCCAGTAGAAGTTACTTGCATTGGTATATAGGCCTCTCTCTGCATTCTGCTCTAAATCCTTTAGCTGCCAATTGCACACGGTTTAGGCCATCATACAATATGAAAAGATAAACAATGTGCTCGCCTCCACCTTATATAAACTTAAATTGGGTGCTGGATCCTCGTGTGTGTGTGTGTGTGTGTGTGTGTGTGTGTGTGTGTGTGTGTGTGTGTGTGTGTGTGTGTGTATAATCCAAAAAACAGAAATAGGACAGCACTCGGGTAAATAAACTTAAATTGACATGTTTATTGCCGGATGAAGGAGAAGTATGAGCCCTTCGGCGTGCAAGGCAATGGCAATTAATGTCACAACAACAATACCACACAGTGAAGAGGCGACTCCGGGATGCTGATCTCCTAGGCAGAGTTGCAAAGAAAAAGCCATATCTCAGACTGCCCTTCTTAATCTTTTCTTTTTATTGGCCAGTCTGAGATATGGATTTTTCTTTGCAACTCTGCCTAGAAGGTCAGCATCTCGGAGTCGCCTCTTCACTGTTGATGTTGAGACTGGTGTTTTGCGGGTGCTATTTAATGAAGCTGCCAGTTGAGGACCTGTGAGGCGTCTGTTTCTCAAACTAAACACTCTATGTATTTGTCCTCTTGCTCAGTTGTGCACCAGGGCCTCCCACTCGTTCTATTCTGGTTAGGGAGTAGTACACAACGTTGTACAAGATCTTCAGTTTCTTGGCAATTTCTCACGTGGAATAGCCTTCATTTCTCAGAACAAGAATAGACTGACGAGTTTCAGAAGGAAGTTATTTGTTTCTGGCCATTTTGAGCCTGTAATCGAACCCACAATTGCTGATGCTCCAGATACTCAACTAGTCTCAAGAAGGCCCGTTTTATTGCTTCTTTAATCAGCACAACAGTTTTCAGCTGTGCTAACATAATTGCAAAATGGTTTTCTAATGATCAATTAGCCTTTTAAAATGATAAACTTGGATTAGCAAACACAACGTGCCATTGGAACACAGGACTGATGGTTGCTGATAATGGGCCTCTGTACGCCTATGTAGATATTACATAAAAAATCAGCCGCTTCCAGGTACAATAGCCATTTACAACATTAACAATGTCTACACTGTATATCAGCATATCTTTTTATCTATAGAATGTCTATCACAACTCATTACATTTCATTTTACCACCATACACATTGGTCGTTCTTGAATTGCGGTGGCATTTGGGCATGGCATTTTGGATAATTTATTTTAGATTCTAAATCATCTAATATGGCAGCTAAATTACTTTAAATATGGTTTACCATTATGATGACATTGTGCCACCAGTAGGTGAAGTAACACCAATGATGGTTACACCAATTCTTAACCGAGGGAAGTAGGGGTGCTGAGGGTGCTGCAGCACCCCCTGATAAATCTGAATTAAAAACAAAAGTAAATAAACCATTTTTTATTATTTTTTTACAATTATTATATCTTTTTTACAACATTTGTGCACACGGCCTTTATAACTCCTGTATGAGCGGACAAAAATTGTCATCAGCAATGCAGCAATGACACATTTTTGGTAATTGAGGATTTTCTTAAATGGAGGCCACAGATGGCCACAAAAAGGAGACGGATGCAAATGCCACCACAATTGAAGAACGATTTCTCCTCTGTAAACATTATTTGCCTGATGACACGCTAGTGGAGAAAGAGAGCCTCATATTATACAAGCACATTTGTTTCCACGGAGGAGAGGACGCAAGTAATCGAGCCAATCCAATTGAGATTCTCCCATAGTTTGCTGATAGTTTGAGCATGTACAGATAATCTCTTAGGGACTATGCAAGTAAAGTGGGACCTAGTAGCCTTCCCAAAGAAGGAGACAATTACACCATGTATTTCTTAGAGAAAACACATGAACTGTTGGGTAAATTACTATGTATACTGTTGAGGGTCTGTCTGCCTAGTTTTCTATACAACTATTTATAGAATGCATCTATGCTGCCATCTTGTGTTTAAACTGAATGACTGAGGATCAACGTTGCACAATAGTTAGAAACGCAAACTCACCTGCTCTACTGTTTCTGTGACCTTGAATTTCATGTTGTTGTAGAACTCCCTCTTTGGTAGCAGATACAGAAGGATCAGATCACATACTACAGTCGCCTTCGGAAACACAACACAATTATTAGTATCATAACCATAGAGATACAATATACACTGAGTGTACAAAACATTAGGAACACCTGCTCTTTCCATTACATAGAATGACCAGGTGAATCCAGGTGAAAGCTATGATCCCTTATTAAATGCACTTCAATCAGTGTTGATGAAGGGGAGAAGACAGGTTAAATAATAATGTTATGCCTTGAGACAATTGAGACATGGATTGTGTATGTGTGCCGTTCAGACGGCGAATTGAGGCTGTTCTGAAGGCAAATGGGGATGCAACTCAACAATAGGAAGGTGTTCCTAATGTTTTGTACACTCAGTGTACATTTAATTATGTGATCATAACTACCTCTGTCACATGATTTAATAGTCAAAGATATTTGTTTAGTCTACACGATACAAGCTGTGTAAGAGATATACAGTAGGCTACTTGAGATTCTGTATGCTTTGAATTATCAGATAGGATGTGTAGTATTGCAAGACTCACCACTCCAAAGATTCCAACGCCAGAGCCTATAGCTGTTAGTGTTGGAATGATATCAAATTTTCTGGCCTGGGAAATAACAATACGAACAACAATTTTCATCGTTTTCATCTACCGTTGCAAGGGAGGAATTCAGAAACACTGGCTGGAACATTACAAGGATAGCAATCATGAACTTCATGAACTTACCACTGAACGAACAATGATGTCAAATCGAATCCCAAACACTTTCAGAAGTGTTCTTTTATCCTGTTTGTCCTCCATATAATGCTTTGCATACCTAAAGCACAAAATGTAAACAAACTTTTCAGCCTCTAGGCTTGTGCTTTAATCAGATCTGTATGTCTCTCTCTTCTGCCTTCTACATGACCCTAGCCATGCAACTAAGAGTACGCTGTATAATGAATACAGTGTACTCTTCTTAGTCGTATACTGCGTACTCTTCTTAGTCGCATGGCTAACAAGACCCCTTTCTAAGTGTTTTCTTTCACTTATTCAAAATTCAGAGCAGGCTTTTCGATTTACAATAAGAAAGGGGCCCTTACCAGAATGGTCAATAAATACTTCAGTATTGTTGCAGATGTTTTTTTTATGATTTATTGAGATAGGACTGTGAAGATGAGACAGGAAATGTAGGAGAGATTGCGAGTCAGAAAGGCAGTGAGTATGATTCAAACCCACGCCGAATATGGTATACAGTTGTGCTGCACTAACCACAAGGCCGCACAGGCCACAGATGTTTTATTTACCGGAAGTTGTATCCAACAGATGTTCTAGCCATGTCTGTCTCTTTGGGATTTCCATAGAGACCGTGGAAGGAGTAGATCGGTTTACACTCTGACTGGTCATAGTCCAGGTTACAGGTCCAGTCAATGACGATACCAATAGCCCCGCCCTGTCACATAACAATCAATACAATACATCCAGTCAATGAGGGTACAACTAACCCCAAACAACACAGTACCATACCATCAACATTGCCAATCAGTTGAGGTACCAATAACACCAAAGTGAAAAAGGAGTCTCCAGACACTTAAATCAGAAGTAATTTCTGTGTTTTTACTAATCTTTCCCTCGGTAATGACCTTCGTCAGAGCATACCTCGTTACTAATAACACCACCATCGATCAATGTCTCCACAATAAACACCAACACCACGATCACCAACACCGAACACACAGCCATCCACGGATTGACAGGTACTTGTAAACCTCCTTCACTCATAAATATAAGAACATATTGCTCACCACTCTGGCTATGGTGGAGAAGTTGAAGCCAGACATCTGTACCAAGTCACCCAGTCTGAAAATGGGACACAGTGGGGACGTCTTCGGGTCATACACACAACTCTTGATGTACTGATTGTCGATACCTTCTACGAGGTTACTCCTGGGAAGGGAATGGGGAAGAGATCATTGTTAAAAAGATGGCAAGTTTATATCTTACTGTACTGGTTATTTAACTACATAGATATTTGAATCAATATCACATTTGGGATACTACTTGCCTAAGCATTAATGGATCTGGTAATTATATAACTCCGGGAAAAGAAAAGGAGAGCCTCACACTCTAGGAGCTCAGATGCAATAATTTTATAACCTAATAGTGTCCTTCGACACTATATAAACTAGTGACCCGCAGTGTTTGTCATTATACCCTGATGAAGACAGCTTGTCTGTCGAAACGTTGGTTATTAGGTTATTAAATTATTGCATCTGAGCTCCTAGAGTGTGAGACTCTCCTTTTCTTTTTCAAGTGTTCTACTCCGTAAGCCAGCACCTCGCCTAAACAGGTGTGCGTTTCTTTCGCCTCCAAATTATATAACTCCTATCACTACTTATGCATTAGCTGTCACATACCATCGTCATCCATATTCAATGCATTACATACACAATATATGTGTGATGTAATACATTTATACAACGGGGTGAGTCTAATCCTTGACGCTGATTGGTTAAAACCACATTCCAGCAGGCGTCTGTACCACAAGTTACCACCCGCTAAAGCTATGACGTTGAAATGCCTATTTACTCTGTTCCAACTCACTGCGAAATCCACTGTCTCATCAGCCCAGTCAGAGAATTTATAAACTTGATCTCCACTGTAAAAAGCATCTAGACATTATCTCCCATTTCTTTTAGACTAGCAATTGGTTTTCAATAGCGGAGATTTGTATAAACCTTGCTGTCTGACTCTCTGACTCTGCAACATTGTTTCAGTATTGTAATTCAATCTCTGCTGTCCCATAGTAATGAACATGTCGGGAGTCGGGATGAGACAGACAGGCAGGCAGCGTTTCTCAGGCAGTCAAAATCATGACCCAGCATTTTTATGGATATATACAAAGAAATCTCAATAGAAAACAGGTAAAACTAAATGAGTGCAGCTAGTTTGCAGTCTTTCCAGCTTCAGTTTGAAGTGATTGCGTTAGCTTTATTGTTGGCTAGCTCCTCTGAACAACAGTGTCCTGATGAGAGAGCGCATTTTCAATGCCAGGTGAAATCATTAGCTCATTGTTATGTATGTATCCAAATACTGTAAATTGTCACTAGAAAACAGCTTAAACAAATGCAAATGCAGCTACTTTATTGTTATTCTTAGACATGACTGTAAGTTAACCGTAGTTGGCTAACTAGCAAGCAAGGGATAACAACGTTGCATAGATACAGAACAAAAAAAATTAACGACTGGGCCGCGTCTCTGGCAACTGAACGATAGACTTGGGTAGTAACCCTAGATTTGTTTTCGGGACTATATCTTGTGGAAGGATGAAATAGTATGACTAAATTCATCAAAATAAAGTTTTTAATTAAAATATGTAAGTCATTATTTGAATATGTTGGGAACCCGTTGTATAAAAGTGATAATACCCTCGAAGCCAGTGTTTCGAGGATATATTGACACGGTTTGCCGGCCCGAGATGAAGTCGAGGGCCTAACAACACCCATGCCAATATATCCTCCAAACACTGGCTTCTCGGGCATTATCTCTAAAGTAGCATTATTCATCTGTGGTTGTGTCGCATGTGTTTTCAACAGGCCATTACTATCCTGATCATTTACAGTACACTATATATACAAAAGTATGTGGACACCCCTTCAAATTAGTGGATTCGGCTATTTCAGCCACACCTGTTGCTGACAGGTGTATAAAATCGAGCACACAGCCATGCAATCTCCATAGACAAACATTGGCAGTAGAATGGCCTTACTGAAGCACTCAGTGACTTTCAACATGGCACTGTCATAGGATGACACCTTTCCAACAAGTCAGTTCGTCAATAATGGTCTGGGGCTGTTTTACATGGTTCGGGCTAGGCCGCTTAGTTCCAGTGAAGGGAAATCTTAACACTACAGCATACAATTACATTCTAGACGATTCTGTCCTTCCAACTTTGTAGCAACAGTTTGGGGGAAGGTCACCATGCACAAAGCGAGGTCCATACAGAAATGGTTTGTCGAGGTCGGTGTGGAAGAACTTGCCTGCACAGAGCCCTGACCTCAACCCCATCATACACCTTTAGGATGAATTGGAACGCCGACTGCGAGCCATGCCTAATTTCCCAACATCAGTGCCCGACCTCACTAATGCTCTTGTGGCTGAATGGAAGCAAGTCCCCAAAGCAATGTTCAAACATCTAGTGGAAAGCCTTCCCAGAATTGCAAAGGGGGGACCAACTCCATATTAATGCCCATGATTTTGGAATGAGATGTTTTGGCCATGTAGTGTATCTTCAGAAAGCTAAACTCAGCGGAAAGCCTAGTGTACATCTCTGTATGGGCTATTCCACAGTACTTTAAAATGTATGCCAAATAAAAACCATTGATTTCAAAGTTTAACAAACCATACAACTCTATGCACAAGGACTACTTTTAAAAATGTACACTGAAAATGTACAAAAACTAATTTAGTGGAAGAACTGTGCAGAGGCAAACTTTTGTAACGGAATTACGGTAAAATCGCCCTCAGGTTTTTATGTGACCACGTTTTCCACAAACTCTGTTAAATATCTGCTCCAAATTACGATTCAAAGATGTCTGCAGAAAGAATGGCGTGTCAGCTGTGACATGGCACCTTGAGTTTGAATACATCTATTTTGGTTATTGAACTACAGTAAGTAAAGTGGATTTACACCCGGAAATAGAATTACGGTAACATAATTACATCATGGGTCCTTGATCTGTACTACGTAGAAATGCCTAATTATGGATATGAATGTCATTCTCCTCATGTTTCACAAGTTTGGACATCACAGCGCAGCACAGCAGAGAACATTGGAGTGCAGTACAGTACACCACAGCAGAGTAGAGTACAGTAGAGTACAGTACAGTAGAGTATGGTCCTCTGTAGCTCAGCTGGTAGAGTGGTCCTCTGTAGCTCAGCTGGTAGAGCACGGCGCTTGTAACGCCATGGTAGTGGGTTCGATCCCCGGGACCACCCATACACAAAAAAAATGTATGCACGCATGACTGTAAGTCGCTTTGGATAAAAGCGTCAGCTAAATGGCATATTATTATTATTATATTATTAGAGTTCAGTACAGTAAAGTAGAGTATAGTTCAGTACAGTAGAGTACAGTACAATATACTGTACTCTACTGTACTGTACTATACTCTACTTTTCTTTACTGTACTGTACTGTACTGTATTGTATCGTACTGTACTCTACTGTGCCTACTCACTGTATTGTACTATCCAATCTTGTGAAACATACATCTATGATAGCTTCAGATTTGGTCCAGTCCGGTCCGTCTGTGGACATTAACATCAAGGCCAGGGTGGACTGACCAAATTTCAACTACTTTTCAACGTCCATGGACGTCCAGTGTTGGTCGGTGCTCAGTGGGTGAGGATGTTGGTTACAGGGGGCTCATGGGTAGGTGTCAGTAAGAGCTGGCAGAGGTGACATTAACTGGAGAGTGAGAGAAAAGGGCAGAGAGGGAGGCGTTGTCCAGACTCAGACTGTTTTAACACTCTTGGTTTGACCACCAGACAACAGAAAGAGAAATAAAACAGTTATAAGCTGAACATAACAGTATGCCAGCTGAAGGGAGGAAAGTAGCAGGTGGCCCAACTGTGGTTTGTGACTATTATGATTTCGGTAACGGAATTACAAGGCACAGGGTAATATTTCTTAAACTTACAGAAGGTAAACAATTTCTCCCAAACGAAATATGTGTTGATATTAGTTGGCAGGAATCTTTACATCAACATTATTGTGTTTTGATGTATTTCTGATACCTTTTAAGGCTTTTTTTCTGGTATATGTTTTCTAAGACCCTTTTTCCAAAATGTATCTATGCCTTCATATCCCCAAAATATAGTCTCTTAGCTTTCATTTGACACCCAATTTTATATGCCCCTATGAACTTCACATGTTTGTGCACATTTTTTAATCCTTATTTTACCAGGAAAGTTGACTGACAACACATTTTAATTTACAGCAACAACCTGGAGAATAGTTACAGGAAGAGGAGGATGAATGAGCCAATTAAAAGCTGGGGATGATTAGGAATTTATCTAGGAAACCGGGGTTAACACCCCTACTCTTACAATAAGTGCCATGGGATCTTTGGTGACCACAGAGAGTCAGGACACCCATTTAACATCCCATCCGAAAGACAGTACCTTACACAGGGCAATGTCCCCAATCACTGCCCTGGGGCGTTGGGATATTATTTTGGAACCAGAGGAAAGAGTGCCTCCTACTGGCCCTCCAACATCACCTCCAGCAGCATCTGGTCTCCCATCCAGGGACTGACCAGGACCAACCCAGCTTAGCTGGGTAGGCCGTCATTGTAAATAAGAATTTGTTCTTAACTGACTTGCCTAGTTACATAAAGGTTAAATAAGATCGAAAATACAATAGCTTCAGAGGCAAGCCAGCAGTGGGATGCAGGATGGTCCTTTTTGATGGAAATGCCTATATGATATTAACCTATAGAGAGTCTGGCTCTTCTCATGTTCACTTGCCTCTCGTGGTCCTAGGAGAGTTATGCCCTGCTCCTGCTCTGATCTGAGCTCCTGACCTCAGCAACTCTCAGGGGAGCAAAACGGGAGAACCGTCTTTATGTTGTTGCTATGGTAATTGGGCTGTATATTGTAAGGCAGGATCATGTAGGATGAGAGAACAGACACCACCTGCATCATGTGCAAATATTAAATATCTCAGGAGAAGAACCAACTTTTTAATGCTTTTATGAGTGTAACAGACTAGACCATAGTTACTTTCCTCATACTAATAGAAGTTTATGAAAATATATACACAGTATCAAAAAGGGGTCACTCACCTCTTAACACCATATGCTGCAAAGGTGACAGAGTTTTTGATGAACAGTGTGTAGTTCTCTGCCGACATCAAGAGTGCGGGACTGCACGGAAAACAGTAGAACATAGAAAATGAAGACAAACAAAGCATAAACACATCAAACACACATAAACATACAGAGAGGTCATCATAAAAAATGGATGGAGACCATTTTCCTTTCATGAAATAGCTTACAGTGCTGTGAAAAGTATTTGCCCCCTTTCTAATTTTCTCTACTTTTGCATATTTGTGATACTGAATGTTATCAGATCTTCAACCAAAACCTAATATTAGATAAAGGGAACATAAGTGAACAAATAACACAACAATTACATATTGCTGCCTCAGGACCTGGACGACTTGCCTTAATAGAAGGAACCATGAATTCTGCTCTGTATCAGAGAATTCTACAGGAGAATGTCAGACCATCCGTCTGTGAGCTGAAGCTGAAGCGCAGCTGGGTCATGCAGCAAGACAATGATCCAAAACACACAATCAAGTCTACATGAAAATTGCTAAAAAGCAACAAATTGGAAGTTTTGGAATGGCCTAGTCAAAGTCCAGACCTAATCCCAATTGAGATGTTGTGGCAGGACTTGAAACGAGCAGTTCATGCTTGAAAACCCACACGTCACTGAGTTAAAGCAGTTCTGCATGGAAGAGTGGGCCAAAATTCCTCCACAGCGACATGAGAGACTGATCAACAACTACAGGAAGCATTTGGTTGGAGTCATTGCAGCTAAAGGTGGCACAACCAGTTATTGAGTGTAAGGGGGCAATTACTTTTTCACACAGGGGAATTGGGTGTTGCATAACTTTGTTTATGAAATAAATGAAATAAATATGTAATTGTTGTGTTATTTGTTCACTTATGTTCCCTTTATCTAATATTAGGTTTTGGTTGAAGATCTGATAACATTCAGTATCACAAATATGCAAAAGTAGAGAAAATTAGAAAGGGGGCAAATACTTTTTCACAGCACTGTACAATTCACTTGGTTCAGTTCAAAGTACCATTCAGTACATAGAATCTATAACAAGTAATACAATATTATAGCTACAGGCTTTATGTAAAGTGTTAACATCATTTTCAGTGATCCTACATACTCTGGGATGACGCGGTCATCTTCCACAGGGCACCAGGCTACAACCTCACACGTCTTGGTTGTGTTCCCCACACACTTCCCCGTCATATGTCCTTGGGGTGGGGGATGGAGGGGGGCAGCGAGACATAGACATGGAGAAAAGACACATGAGGGATATAGCTTTTCAACATGGAGTATGCATGAGTATGAGCCCACAGATGAGGATGCAATGGCGTCCACTTCACAGAAATAGAAATGATTGTTTCGATGCTCCACTTATCCAAACTTTTTTTTCTCTCTACTTCTTAAAATCTAAAATGTATCTCAATTCAGAATACCAAGGGAAACTGTTAAGTGAGCAAAAGAGAGTGCTGAGATATCTCTTCCATATCTCTCTGATCTTATAAATATAATTTCCTTCTGCATGAAAAACCTTGAAGCTGATGTGGTTCTGAGAGGTTGAAAGGATTTGAATATAACCATGGACATATTGGGGCCGTTACAAATTACACAGCCAACCCTTTCAACTTCCTACGTTATATCGGTTTATAATTCTACTGTATAGGCTTATTAGATTTGCTCCTACTACTCCCTGTTTGTCTGATAATCTGCCTGCCTATGTCTCTGACTGTGCTTATGGCTTGTGTCTATTGCATTTGTCTGTGACTCAATGGTTGTGTGCATGTATGCATAATATGTGTGTGGGGACTCTGTTTACATACTTTAATAGAATGATGAGCCAAAGAGCTCAACCACCCTGCGCCATGTTGCTAAGAACATGGAAAGTTGTTGATCTGTAATCAAGCTTACTTTTTCGTCATGCATGACTTTGGGCAGGGAAATTCCTGACTAGTCAAAATGTTTATCTTAGTGGCTCTGTGTTTAGCCAGGGTTGTGATGCTAACAGAGTTTACTGTATATTAGCTGAAATAAGAGGCTGCTTTGTCAGTACCACAGCACCTTGTAAATACTCTCCCTCAGAAAGTGACAGCATTCTTTCTCCTTTGGGGGACCACTTGCTCAACAAAAAAAACTAGCACTGTAGAACTGACTATATTAGTTAACCATCTCAGGGACCGGCCAGGACCGGCCAGCAATGTGCCATGAACCAGCGCTGGTCCACAGACCAGAGGTTGAGAAACACTGAGTAAGTGAGTGGGACTGTCACACTACCACACTGCCATGCCGTCAGGACTTTACCATGTCCTGTACGTTCTATTATCCCTCTTGCACAGTCTGAGTCGGAGTTGCAGAGATAGCTGGGTTCTGCGAGCTGAAACACAGAAGGAGCTAGAGTCAGTGGGTAACTGTGTGTGTGTGTGTGTGTGTGTGTGTGTGTGTGTGCATGCGTGTCTGAGTCAGTGTTTATGTTTGTAATAGAATACCACTATATACAGTAGAAAGATGAAAAGGAGTCCCAATACATGATAAAAAACATCATTTGTTTAGACCACTTTTTCCTGAATAATAATCTAATAAGCAAATGTATTAGAATTGTTCCTCTCTACATGCGTCATTGACAGTATCTCACAATGAAAGTAGATGAGCTGATATGATGGACTTTGCATTTACCTTTAGTATTTATGAAAATAGATTAATATCAAAAAGATACAGAGAATCCAAGAAATACACTGCTCAAAAAAATAAAGGGAACACTTAAACAACACAATGTAACTCCAAGTCAATCACACTTCTGTTAAATCAAACTGTCCACTTAGGAAGCAACACTGATTGACAAATTTCACATGCTGTTGTGCAAATGGAATAGACAACAGGTGGAAATTATAGGCAATTAGCAAGACACCCACAATAAAGAAGTGGTTCTGCCTGTGGTGACCACAGACCACTTCTCAGTTCCTATGCTTCCTGGCTGATGTTTTGGTCACTTTTGAATGCTGGCGGTGCTTTCACTCTAGTGGTAGCATGAGACGGAGTCTACAACCCACACAAGTGGCTCAGGTAGTGCAGCTCATCCAGGATGGCACAGTACATCAGGAGACGTGGAGGAGGGCAACAACCCAGCAGCAGGACCACTACCTCCGCCTTTGTGCAAGGAGGAGCAGGAGGAGCACTGCTAGGAGCCCTGCAAAATGACATCCAGCAGGCCACAAATGTCCATGTGTCTGCTCAAATGGTCAGAAACAGACTCCATGAGGGTATTTGCCAGAGAACACCAAGATTGGCAAATTCGCCACTGGCGCCCTGTGCTCTTCACAGATGAAAGCAGGTTCACACTGAGCACATGTGACAGACGTGACAGAGTCTGGAGACGCCGTGGAGAACGTTCTGCTGCCTGCAACATCCTCCAGCATGACCGGTTTGGCGGTGGGTCAGTCATGGTGTGGGGTGGCATTTCTTTGGGGGGCCGCACAGCCCTCCATGTGCTCGCCAGAGGTAGCCTGACTGCCATTAAGTACCGAGATGAGATCCTCAGACCCATTGTGAGACCATATGCTGGTGCGGTTGGCCCTGGTTTCCTCCTAATGCAAGACAATGCTAGACCTCATGTGGCTGGAGTGTGTCAGCAGTTCCTGCAAGAGGAAGGCATTTATGCTATGGACTGGCCCGCCCGTTCCCCAGACCTGAATCCAATTGAGCACATCTGGGACATCATGTCTCGCTCCATCCACCAACGCCACGTTGCACCACAGACTGTCCAGGAGTTGGCGGATGCTTTAGTCCAGGTCTGGGAGGAGATCCCTCAGGAGACCATCCGCCACCTCATCAGGAGCATGCCCAGGCATTGTAGGGAGGTCATACAGGCACGTGGAGGCCACACACACTACTGAGCCTCATTTTGACTTGTTTTAAGGACATTACATCAAAGTTGGATCAGCCTGTAGTGTGGTTTTCCACTTTAATTTTGAGGGTGACTCCAAATCCAGACCTCCATGGGTTGATACATTTGATTTCCATTGATAATTTTTGTGTGATTTTGTTGTCAGCACATTCAACTATGTAAAGAAAAAAGTATTTAATAAGATTATTTCATTCATTCAGATCTAGGATGTGTTGTTTAAGTATTCCCTTAATTTTTTTGAGCAGTGTACTTTTGAGATGAGTTGACATACCTCAGGACATGTTCCCATTTTCTGACCTTTGGTTATGATGTAGTTGGTCATCACCACAAAAGATGAGTCTCCCTGAGGGTACGAGAGAGAGAGGAGGGAGAGGAGAGAGGAGAGAGAGGAGAGAGAGAGAGAGAGAGAGAGAGAAGAGAGAGAGGAGAGAGAGAGAGAGAGAGAGAGAGAGAGAGAGAGAGAGAGAGAGAGAAGAGGAGAGAGAGAGGAGAGAGAGGAGAGAGAGAGAGAGAGAGAGAGAGAGGAGAGGAGAGAGAGAGAGAGGAGAGAGAGAGAGAGAGAGAGAGTGTGAGAGTGTGAGAGTGAGTTCATGAACCCTGCGTCCTGAGTGTTCCTGCCTGTGTTGCCGTTTTTCTGCTCTGAATCTCCTGTTTCCTGAAGGTTCCTGAACGCACCCTGCCCGGTTGCCGGGCGACGTTGCTAGGCGGGTGATCTCTCGATTACCCGCACCTGCTTCTCATCAGCTTCGGCACACCTGGTCCTGATCATCATCCCTTCATAAGCTCTGACCTGACATCCATTCCCTGCCGGATCGTTAGCCATGAACAGTATGTTTGTCAGCGTATCAGCCTCTGAGTTACTAGCGTTAGTTTTGTTGTTTTGCACCTTGTTGGCTTGCCGTGTACTTACCTCCGTTTTTTTCTGTCTACAGTCATTCTCCCGGAACCTTCACCCAACCCCTGCCTGGTTGTCGGCGGCTGCCGAGCCATCATTGGATCTGCCACTTCACCTCCACCAACTCATCTCCGCCGCCCGCTCCGTCTTTTTTTGAATCTGTTAATAAATACTCACCTTCGTTCAACTCACCTTGTCCTGGTCTGCTTCTGGGTTCTGGCTTAGAAAAAAGTGACAGAACGATCCGGCCAGAAATGAACCCAGCGGACCTGGACTCTGTTCGCCATGCCATTACCCATCAGGAAAGGATGTTGGGACAACACAGCACGGCGCTACAGGAGATAGCGTTGTCGGTTCGGAACTTTTCGACCACTCTGACGAAGATCCAGGCTCAGCTCAGTTTGCCGGTGGAGAATCCACCACCGGTTTCACCCCTTTCGCCTGCCGCTTCTGGAGCTGTGCCCTTCCCTGAGCCAAAGGTTCCGACGCCTGATAAGTATGAAGGGGATTTGGAAAGATGCCGTTCCTTTCTTATGCAGTGTGGATTAGTGTTCGATCTACAGCCCCACTCGTACGCCACAGACAAGGCTAGGATAGCCTTTGTTATTGAATTGCTGCGTGGTAGAGCCCTGGAGTGGGCTTCAGCCGTATGGGAACGACAGGACACCTGCATGGCGTCATACCAGGAGTTCACGGCAGAGATGAGGAAGCTGTTTGACCATCCAGTCCGAGGTAAGGATGCAGCTAAGCGCCTGTTTTCTCTTCGCCAAGGAGCTCACAGCGTTGCCGACTTCGTAATCGAATTCAGGACATTGGCTGTGGAGAGTGGGTGGAATGAAGAGTCACTGCAAGCGGCCTTTTATCAGGGGTTGTCGGAGCAACTCAAGGATGAGCTGATCTCCTATCCGGAGCCTAGTGACCTGGACAGTTTGGTAGCTTTGTATATTCGGGTGGATAACAGAGTTCGAGAGAGAAGGAGGGAGAAGCAATGGGGCCCGTCCAATCAATCAGCTTCTCGGTTCCCAGTCGGGTCAGGAGGTGGACCATAACGCGTCGATCATTGTCCACCACACAGGATTAGTGGAGAGGTCCTGCCTCCAGATTGTCATGCTAACTGCCTCAAGACTGCCTGTTCCCATTCTGTTCCCAGTCAGGTCATTGAGGCTAACCCCCCAGATTTGTCCCTGGTTCCTGAAACATATCACGAGTTGGGGGAAGTGTTCAGTAAGCAGAGGGCTCTGTCACTCCCTCCCCACCGACCATATGATTGTGCCATAAACCTGTTCCCTGGAGCTGCCTATCCCAAGGGACGGTTATACAGCATCTCCCGACCTGAACGTGAAGCTTTGGAGACCTACATAAAGGAGTCCCTAGCTGCTGGTCTCATTCGTCCCTCGTCATCACCCCTGGGGGCAGGATTCTTCTTTGTGAGTAAGAAGGATGGCTCTCTTCGACCTTGTATTGATTATCGGGGGTTGAATGATATCACGGTCAAGAACAAGTATCCCCTGCCCTTGATGAGCTCTCTTCGACCCACACAGTGACTACTGGTTCACCAGCGGACCTACGCAATGCTATCATCGGCGGACAGAGATTGGGGACGAGTGGTTACGGTTCATACACCGGATGGGTCCATTTCGAGATCCGGTATGCCGTGGACTGACCAATGCTCCAGCAGGTTTCCAGAGTTGGTGAATGACGTCCTCGAGAGATTGATCGGTCTTTTGTGTTCGTACCGTGTGGACATTCTATCTCTCTAAGGAGCCTTCCAGCCACTCCCATGTCAAGCAGTTTGCAGCGATTGCTGGAGATCCCTTTGAGGCAAGTGTGATTTCACGCCCCCTACAATCCTTCTCGGGTACATCATCTCCAGGGAGAGATTAGGAGGACCAAAGAAGGTTAGGGCGTTCTGGATTGGGCCAGCCCGGTAACGAATGCAGCTCCAGAGGTTTCTGGGGTTTGCGAATTTCTATCGGAGATTTATCCGTGATTACAGCCGTGTGGCCGCTCCTTTAACTGCCCTGACTTCTAGTACCAGAACCTTCAGTTGGAATCCTGAGGCGGACCGAGCATTTCTGGATTTTAAGAGAGAGAGAAAAAACCATTTAAATCTTCATTATTCAGCCCTCTAAAATCATTGACAGGTGGCAACATTGACTGATTACATCAATGTGTCTTACAATAAATAAATAAATATTATTTTGAAAGAATACCTGTGAAATAATTTGCATAAAGGAAGGAATCAGGAAATCTGGTCACAATGCAGACACAGTGGACGGATAACAGAAACATTTCTGGAAATGCATAATCATAATGTAGACAAGATCAGGACAAAGGACCCATGTTAGCACCACGTATAAACAGGGCTAGAAAGACTATAATTGTGTCTTTAAACGTGACAATCATACAGTTTAAAGAGATATGGCCATTTACTTTTCTTTAGTATTATAGCCACTATTCTTATTGTTGTCGCTGTTGTTCTCATAATTATTATGTGTATCACTTCGCTTTGGCAACATTGACCTTGTTATTAATGCCATTAAAGCATATCGAATTTGTATTTGAATTTCACCTGTAT